AGAATTTGAAACACGTTTATCGGTGTAGGTCGTGTTATTTACAAGTCTCGAGTTACATTGCACAGGTGGACGCTATGTCGTGTTGTGGGAGATCGTTTTTCTGGAGCTTTTAAGGTTTCCGCTTTCCCTCATCTGCGTTTTCAAATGAACATACTTGTCATTTCATTGGATTTCACGTGCTAGTTTCAGTTCCCATTATACATAGTTGCTTCATATCCTCACATCCAATATACTTCATCCTTCTAGAACCTTCGCGTGCACGTTCCTGTCATTAAACTCTAATTGTAGCGATAAGAAATTAAAACTTTCTACTTTCCCTTATAACGTTAGTCAGTAAACACTTTTACTGGATCTGAATTTTTAGTGTCGAGGTTGACTTGCAGCTAGTCTCATTCTTGTCGGATAGAAATTGTTTAAATTTCATTTGTCAGCGTTGTATATAATACTTAATTTCCTTTTTGCGTTTCTGCTTGCCCCAAATTAATTTTTGCCCATCATTTTAAATTTTGCATGTTAGATTTTTGTATGTAGCTCTGTATGTACCAGTACAATGTATTTAGCTGTCTACGTGCTTTGTTGTCTAATTTATCATGTACATTAGTACAGGTGTATTTTTATTGTTTGATCTTTTATTACTGTCCCTGAATTTTACTTGTTCGGTAAAAAATTGCCCTATACTAGGGTACCGGTAAAGACTTTATCGTACTGAACGTTTGATTTCATTTTTTTGATAACTCATCTTCCTTAAAGTTAATACTAATAGAAATCAGCGCAGTTTTCTAAACATTTAAAAATATTATGATCAAATTTAAAGTTCAGCAAGGAAACAAAATGAACAAAGGAGATGTCGTTTGCGGTGTGATAGTCGGGGTGATTGGAATCCTTATCTTGGTTCTTGTCTATTTCTTCTTGGAAATATTTGGATACCTGTGAAGAGATAACGTTACTCTAGGAAGATGAGCGACGGGACCATCATGTGGAAATGGGGATCAATCGAATAAAAAAGAGACTGAATAAAATCAGATGTTTTGATAGACTGCAGGCCTTGCTGAAATCACATCAATCAATAGGGTTCAGATAACGTTGAGATCCGGCGTACCTATTTATTTAGTCTATTAGAAGTGAAGACTTGCTGGACAAGAATCATCAGTCAGTGAGGGACGAGGATGCAATCCCTGCCCGTTGACCCATTAAAGTGTTTTTCTTTTCTGAAGAAGCTCCTGAATGAAGTGCGGAGCTCGAAGCATTTCTATATCGATCGTGGCTTCATAAGAATGAATTGAGAGCTTCTATGAAATTGAAAATTAACAATAACTTCATGAAACTCCCGCGATTTGATCGCTTTAAAAAGTATGTTTATCGTTGCGTGTCACCGTCCCTTCAATAATTACATAAACTATCTGTACAGTTCTGTAACAGCTGCAGTTGCATGGTTTTTACTTTTATTATAATTCATTATATTTTTACATCTGAATATATCATAGACCAATTTGTCGTTTTGAGCCTAAATAAATAAGCATTTTTATAACCATGATACCAGTTAATTCGGCGAATCTCTGTTCTCGTTATTTTAACTATACGTTGGTCCCCTTAAACTCAATCGATTTTTAATTTTTAAGCAACATGAATACGCATGCTGATTGGCCAAACATAATATAATTTTGAGCAAATTTGATTTTAATAGTTATTTTCATATCAATATCATTGCATGATTTATCTGAAATATTTCTGTTTTAAAGTTAAGTCAACGTCTGAAAGTATATATGATATACAGTACCACCTTTTATAAAGTGGTGAAGTGGAAGTTTTATGCAAAGTAATGACTAATATAAAAATATTTCGACCATTTTTAATCACATTACAGTCGTTTAACTTAACATATACGATATACTTGTATAACTACTATAAGATAAAATTGTAAACACAAAATAGGTGTTCTCATTTGTGCATAGCAGTATCAAGTTTACTGGGCGGCGCTCAGCCTGTCATTCCACCGAATCTCTATTATATATAGTATTATATTTATATACAGGGGGGCCAAACTAAAAGTCAGTGACGTGCAAACGTTGGGTCTTATATTTGATATTATACGGATACCTCCGCTACTGCTAGGGCGGGTCACCATAACCTAAACCATTTGCATTAGTTGTTCAAATAATTAGAGATCATATCTTAATCTTATTAATTGCTCTATAGGGTCAGGAACAACAAAAAATGGTTGACTATACGGTGTCGGATAATACGCCCGCTAATTATAGCGTTTCTTATAGTTATACAAGTAAAATAGGGAAAATCGCCCTTTTTCACAAGATAGCGCCATTTCTGCATTTTGTGCTTTGAGACTTTCTGCTCGAAAATAAATGTGATAATGGCATTTCGCAAACATCTTTTCAATCAGAATCATGAGCTGTTGCATGTTGCAGCGAAAAAGATCAAAAATGACTTTGAGTCTGCTGATATTTGTCAAATTAATTTCGATGCTAAATTATTAGTATTACCAAATGGGGGGGGGGGGGGGGGGGTTTGGGAGTGTTAATCGACTTGCCATAGTGGCTGTCCAAGAGGACTATAATCACTTTTAATCATATATTATTATTGGCTATTGCCAAGATTAACGGGTGATACTCGTAAAATATTTGTTCCATATAGTTATACCAGGACCGTCGACGAGTCCAACTCGGCGCGCGTCCTGGTAAGTTGTAAACCTACAATTGCCAAGACAGAAAATGGGACTGGGGAGGTAGCTGGTAGAGTCCCGTGCAGTTGCGGGAGCTCTTGAAGAGTGAGAATGGGATCATACTGATATAAAATTGTTGCTCTGCTGCGTTTAATATTTAAAAGTTGTTGCTCTGTTGTAGTAAAGCGTGATGCGTTACTGGGCCGCGCGCCGCGCACTCAATTATGCTTCTCGCAACCTCGCTCGATCGGCGAAATAAAATTCGCTACTGGCACTCAGGCACTGCCACTGGGCCTTGCCGAGCTGCGATGAATTGACATCGTCAATTAATTGCTTTGCAAATGGCATCTTGTATTTATTTGTTCATTGTTCAAGGATTCCGTCGCCAAAATTTGAAAATAATCAGGTTGTCCATCGTTTTCACATAGCCATGTGTCTACGCGTACTGCATGACGCGCTTGTTTCACAAGTAGATAGGTCTCTTTTGCCGCCTTCGGCAGTCGCGCGCTACTGCAAGCGAGAGGGCTCTGGTTAGAGCAATCCATTGTTAATGAACTACCCCGGCGCGCGCTATTTTGTACATTGTAGCACTTGCCTCGGGCCAAGTGCTAACATTTCAAGAAGAAAGCGGCGCGCGCTACTTCGAGGAAATTTAGACGAGTAACATCCGTCAAAAACACATGGCTACGTGAAGGTGAACACCAAATGCCAAACGTGTACATCAACTGCTTCGCATGCCTTTATAGGAATTTTTATAAATATAATAAACAACATAGTTAGAGGACTGCGCCGCGCAAACTAGCATTCTTGCTTTCGACGAGATGGATGCAAAACAACGATCTGGAAGGGTTGACATCGTCAATCAAACAACATAGTAATAACACGACTAAAAACACGACCTATCATCTCAACGATTGAGCCGCGCCGTACCAGCGGCCGATGGGATTGGGGATGCATGTGAAGCTGCACAAATAAGAAAGTTGTAAATGTTCTTGACAACATTCGATACCAAATTATGACACTTGTTGTAACGAAAGTTCGGTTTTTAACATAAAAACATAATTTAGGTTCTAGAAGATTTTCAGGGGTTCTCAACAATAGGCACTTGAACTGTTATTAATGGGTTGGGAGCGATTTCCGCCCGACGAAGTTCTACCTCATTGGGCACTTTGCTAGGTCCAACGACTCTAAGCTAAGTTTTGGAATCATTCAGCTGCAGATAATATTGAGACAACCAATTCTTTATAATATGAACCTCATGAAGCAATTTTTAAGTTGGTTGGCTAAGGGTTTGACCTAATCTGAAGGTTTGAAATATTTCATGATTTGAAAGATCTCATGATTTGATGCCCATCTTCACAATACAACCGATAGTGAAGTCACCAGATTAATTGGAACATCTGTACAATGTAGTTTTTAAAAAGTGCTGGACCCTGAAGTTTAGAGCATTTAATATTGCACTTTATCCTTGAAACAATATTCATACATTATCTACTGATAGTAAGAATATCTGAACCATATTCAATTGAGCCACCAAATATTTAAAGGTTTCTATTTGATTCTTATAATATAACGTTGTTAAATTAAAAATTTTCAACCTGCTGCTGTATGATAAGTGTGCCAATACCCTCGATTACCTGGATGAAGACAGCTAGCTTCAGTTAAGCTTCCAACTCAAGATTGATTTGCCAACTACCATTAACAGGCGAACAACAGATGCGATGGATTTCACAATTGTATTCAATATTTAAGATGGGTCTTACCAGAAATTTGTAAATTGATAACATAACAGTTTTATCTCAAGTAACAATTTGAATTCCTAGATATCCAAAATTATGTCATTTGGTTAGCTTTAAATATAGATGCTTTTATCTGCTCATCCCATTTCAATGACTCGCGTGTAACAACACCTATCTAAACTCCTTTTCCTGTTCTATGGTTTGTTTCTGAATACCCAGAATATTTTAAATTAGGATTATCATCTAAGTTAGTGTGCATTCATTTTCATTTAGATTGGTTATATCTAAGTAACGAAATACCTTCTAAGATTTCCAATTCCTGTAAATCTCCAGTAACACTGGAGATTTTCAGCAGCATTGCCAACAAATTTAAAGTCCACAGAAAATAATTTAACTTTATTTTGATTTAAATTATTTATTATCACTATGATCTATTTGCAGTATATAATTGAGGGTGGACGCAGTTATTTGAATATAATAACAATATGAGACAAAAAAATTGGACAATTAGCTCAAACTATGTTTCACTTTAAATCTGCCCAAGCCTCTGTGAACTGATTGAAATTAACTTCTAATATTGGTATAGGTAATGTAGATGAAGAAGGTGTAGCGGAGTTTTGACTAATGAAATGTAATGTTAATTGCTATCCTTTTATGCCTGTAAGTATTTGCTATCTATGTTTTATTACATATCTGCACTTCAATATTTTTCAAGACAGTGCTCTACTTGCATTGATACCTTCAATATTATTTCTATGTGTTGAAAAGTTTACCATACTTTTGATTCGAGCAACTTAAGTCACTTAAATTTAATGAATCAATTAGTGTTTAAATCATTACACATTTTCATTAACCTTATCACGACTTTATTAAAGCTACTCTAACTACCAGGTTGACAGAAAGCACCGTAGGGGGGAGCATCGTTGGGGAGCTTTATAGAGTCCAGCGTTTACAAGGCCAGTGCTCAGCATGGTGCTATGAAAAGTGAGCTATTCTTTAAGTGCTAATTAAATTCTATACATTTTTATCTGACAGATTCTTGCACATTTTTTAGCTTATACAAAATTTCAACAAAACTCACCTACTTGAATTTAGGATAGATGAATTAGTATAGTCATTTAATCAACTTTTTGACGGGTCTGGTTTCTAGGTATGGAGTCTGGGCACCTGCCCAACAAACGCTGACCAAGTCCAACACGGAGGAACGTAACATCTATCAGTGCAACCCGGAAGTAGATGAGCGAGGAGATTATGTAGAGCCTGATTGTTGGTACTGTGATAAAGGTAGGTCATCTAGTTTACTCTTGTATTCTGTGATGGGCAATTTTGTCCTAACATTTTTCAGTGTCCTTTTTAAAATTTGCAAAAAGAGCGAGGGCGAAAAGGATATCGTTATGTGTAGCCAAGACGACTTACCACATAACCCCCATAGGTTGTGAGAAAGAGTTCTACAGTCGAGCAGACTGCTATGCAGGTTGCAATAACAAGGAAACTTGCAAGTTAGCGTGCCGACACCATGAGACAATGTCCAGAACGAAGATTAACATAGAAGAGCTGACTGCAAATCTGTCTCGGAATGTTCCGCATGATATTTACGAGGAGGCAGACAAGAGGAATCATTCTACTATCTCTGTAAGTTTTGCAGCTAAGCCGATTCAAGTATGTGGGGGATATATATTATATATACCTAGGATCATTGTGGAAATTATAAAAATGAATAGCAATATAATAGTGATGATATCGGTGAAAGAAATACAAAAAGTGGCTAGGTATCAGGATTCAGGGTATGAGACTTGGAAATGGCTAAATTTTAAACAACTTTTTTTAAAAATTTAAAAATAAAAATCAAGGTGTAACATTCAAACTCTAACCTTCATAACCACAGCCGGGGACTGAACCACTCGGCTATCAGCCCTTGTACGTAACCTAGAAATTTAAATTTTATGTACATTCCTTGGCTTATTCTCGTGGTAAGAACGAGCTTAAAATCGCCATAGATTCCTGGCATGGCCTAGGATTCTAATGCTTCTAGTATTTATTGCCCGCAGGAAGGGAATCTAAGGAATGCCTGAGTAGAGTAGCGGTTTATCTGGTGACATGATGTAACGGCTAATTTAAAGATTAACTAAAACTGCCAAATTTTGATCAATTGACATAGCTTTAAAAGATTATGTGGCATGCAGGAATAAAATTCCTGAATTACTCACATCGTATAATTGGTGGTAATGCAAATGCGTATCGATCTGTATTCCATCGCATTTCGACTGAATGCTGTTAAGGTCAGATTTCTACCTCTTGATGTCTAAAACAATTTTGGATCCTATGTTGAACTATAAGGCCTCCGGGCCGATGGGTCATGGGGTATATGATACACTCATTCTGAAGCTGTATAATTGCTCTCTTGCATTGTTATTTAAATTCCTTCACATTTCACTCATTTACATGAAACTATGTTGAATCCCTCGTATATTGAGAAATCTATGAGCAGCAATATATAGCGTAGTTACATTCTGTAATGTAATTTTGATGTGAAGGTAAATTATCTGTTTTGACTATAATTCATGTATAGTCTCTGCAATGGTCGGCCTGGTAAGCCTGCATATAGGAAGAATGGAAGAGTTATTTTGTATTCGCCAAGCCAGACATGATGGCTTCAATGGCTAATGCCTGTCCTTTCATAACAGTCTTAATGACAGCCTCCAGACGTTAACCTCCATACCAATGAGTAATAGTTAAGGTGCGATTTGGTGAGACTTCGGTAGATTTGGCAGTTAAGGTATTTGCAGTTAAGGTTTCTAGACAGGAACTGATCTGAATGGATTGTGGTCGTTAGTTTGAGGCTCCGTTAATGTTATAATGGTGTAAAAGTAAGTAACACGAGTATTACACGTGTATAACACGTGTATAACACGTGTCTACCACGTGTATAATAAGACGTAGTGTACTCATTCACTGTCTAATGTTGCTGCGGAGTGAAGTTACCATGTTACATTGCTACATCACACAGTTCACATACATCACATACTGGTGGCTCTGAATACTGCCTACATAAATGCCGCTTGAACAATGAAAATTGAGAGATGTTAAAAAGTATGAAAATTGCAGTGGCCCCGAAGTGTGCACACTGCACAGAGTTTGTTTGTTTGCAGTTCACGTTTCTGAATCTAATAATTCATGTTATATTGATCAATGATCGATTATAGGCCTTTAGGAATCAACTCTTTATTTATTATTACTGCTTAAATCAGCTAATAAAATATTAACAATTTAAGAAGTTATGATAAGTAATCACCAATCAACCTAAGCTTACTTTTAACTTGATAATAAGTATGTTAATTTTAATTTCAGGTATGGTGGAACCATGTGAGCCTATTTGATGAGCGGGAGCCAGTTGTTTACATGGTCTTCCTACTCAACTATACTTCTGACAATCCCGATGAACAGGTTAGAAACGTGTCCGTAATTATAATTGGAATTGTAATTTTATTATGAATAATTTTAGTATTGTTAAATAAAATAAGTAAAATAATGAAATTCTGAAGAAAAAACATTCAATTTTAACTTGAGTATAATTATCTTACAAAATTAAAATTATCCAATTCAATGAACTGATTAAATCTACTTAACAATCTAATTACTATCCTCCCCAGCCGGAAGGATTGTACATTGGTCACACCCCTCACTACATATTCCCTGCTGAACCCCTCTCACCGGACTACTGTTACCGTATCAAGATATTAACTGTTGGAAACAGACACGGAGTTCTGGGACATGCTGTTAGCAGTAGCAAGTTTGCAACAGATGGTACGTAATGATAATTATGATTAGAAATTTATACATCACTTTATAGTTCAAGCCACCTAAAGCGAACATGTTCATAAAAACCTAAATCATGTTTAAAAAAACCTAAAATTGTATGAAATACGTAGTGGAGCTCTTCAGAGCTTATTCTAGCTTTTATTTCGATACTTTTAGATGTTTGGTATTATTCCCAGGCGAAGTATTGATTTATTTGTTGTGCAAATATAAGAGTGCTTTAAAAGTTTAAAAGCTTCGTGGCTTTATATGGTATAATCTTGAGATTTAACTTATAATGCTAATGCGTCAATGACGTTAATTGTCAAACATGGCTAATTCGTGTTTGTACAATGTACATAATATGCAAAATGTGTGTATTAACTTATTAATATTAACATTCAAATTTACATTGAAAAAATAAAATGAACTCAGTTGTCAACGTAAATACGGGTTGTACCTGCAAAGGGCATTCATTAAGCATTTAGAGTTTTGTAAAACTGCAGATTCCCATATCAATGTAAAAAGTTGTTGTAGAACTGTAACTACCAACTAGGGCTTGTAAACAATTGTAAACAATTTCCTCTTTGGCCCCAAATTTCCTCCAAAATCCAATATTTCCTCGCACATTATCTGCCGTCTTTCCGTATGTTGGGTCCTACATGCTTCCAAATGTTTTATGTTCAGTTTTGTTCAATTGAGTTAAGTTCACTGTACGTATTTCAAAAAGACTAGAGAGGTGTGAGTCGCGACACACCTCAATGCTACACATTATATTTATCGGCGGTTACTCGAAATAAATTCCCCGGTATGCTGTCATTGCTAAAAATATTTGACAGTCGCTATTACTGGTAACGGGGTACCTTTCTCAATATCCCGAATATATATGCACAGTATTTAACAGTATTTAAGGTATATTACGTTATCCATCGATGGGATTTCATTTCATGTAACTTTAGGTGATCAGGTTGAAATGTCGTCATTTTTTAATACTTCGACAAGACTGCAAAGTGCAATATATATGCACCTGTGGAGTCCTGCGTAGGACTCCACCTCCATATAGAGCATGGACTGACTCAGAAGGAAAATTTTAACAATAGTGTTTCAGTGTGTATCCTAGAAAAGTCAAGTCCTAGTAGTTTAGATGTTAAGGAGCACCGATATATACATGCCTTAAATTCCCTCCGCCCCTCAGGAATGAATAGTACAAACCCTTTTAAGATTCCTTTATTGCATAATTGATTTTTATTTTGTCTGAGGGGCTTTCCATAAATTATTTTTTTAAAATAATTGGTCCTTTTATTGATGTTTCATATTTCACGGCAGTTTCCTTTTCAGAGTTTGAGTTTATATTTAGAAACTAACCATACTATCTTTTAGATTTATGTCACTTATGATGGCTCCGGCTGAAAGTACTATGACTCATTTTATCTAGAAGATTGTAGTTTCATTGCTTCTGAAGTAGCTATCAGTTCGCCGGTCAATGTTGGGTATAATACTCTTGTGCAATATATATATATATTTCATGGCTGGACTTCTACACAATAAAAGAAAGCGGTTGTGATTAGATCTTCGAAAGTCTTTGCATCGTTTATTTACATCAATTCTGAGAAATTATATCATTAAAGTAACTACAACAAATACGAATCATATACAATTGAGAATAAATACAAACTAAAAGCAGTGGGAAAATCTGATGAACTGAAATTTAAAAAAGAAACTGAAAGCCGTTAAAAATGTACTCTTATCTTATCTCTTATCTAAATACTGATAACTGATTCTCGGAAAATCACTTAAAATCACAACAAAAACCTGTAAAATTTATACTTAAGTAAAAAATGTAATATGCACGTCTCTGGAATAATGGTATAACTAAATAAAATCTACAAAATATACTAAAACTAAAACTAAGCTCCGGCAGATTTAAAAAGTAGATGGTTACTATCAAGGGTGTTCATACCCCCAAACCGTTCAAGGGTTTTCAATTGGGTCTGGTAGAACCCCTCTCTAGCTTCCATAGCCTTTTCTTTGTCTGCTTTACTAATATTAGGCTCAAATACTAAAGCGTCTACTATAATGACAGAAAGGTGCTTACTAAGTGAGGAATTATAGCAGGCTATGGTACTAAAATCTAAATCATGATCAATATCTAAAAAATGGTTAACTAATTTACAACTTCTTATACCTTTCTTTATGTGACTCTTATGGTTAGAGAATCTCTTAGGGAGATTTGAGGTAGTATAACCGACATACGACTGTTTACAAGTCTTACACTCCATTAAATAAATGAGGTTATAACTCTGACAAGATATATACTTAGTTATAGGGAAAACTTGTTTAGAATGGTGACTACTAAAATTGGAACAGGGGGACAGGAAATTTTGCTTACAAACATAACATTTACCACAAGCATGGCACCCTGGGTCGACAGCCCCGGGAACCGCCCTTAGACTTTCGGAGTCTGGTTCCTGGATCTGGCTTGCAGTTGTTTCTCTCTCATTATCACAGTTTAAAGTTCCACTGGCACGGTACTTATTGTGTACAAGCATGCCACCGATAGTTTGATTCTTTCGATGACTCACGAATACACTGTCCGCACGTACCAGCTTCTTCAGGGCCGGATCAAGGTTGAGAAGGTGCTTATACTTATGGATAATGCCCCCCATGTTGGGAAGTGCTGGATTTTGATCCATCACCATGGGTATTAAACAGGCAGTCGACTCTTCCTTGTCTTTAAGGGTATACAAGTTTTTCCTATTAGCTATATCACTAAATTTGTTAAAGGCATCTTCTATAATACTGGAATGATAACCTCGGGCTAGAAGGTAACGTGTATAGACCTCTCTCTGCTCCAAGAAGTTAGTGTCTTCACTGTATATATATATCTTGTGAATGTCTACTGCCTCAGAATTGAAGATTCTGATTTCTGATCGTACATATTCAGGAACATTTTAAACTCGGTTTTTATCTTGGCTGTTATAATTAATGAAGAAAAGAAGTGGCTTTAGCTGTTTACAGGAACCAGTTTTCTACCCTTTTCTAGAACTGATAAAAGTGATAAGGGGACAGTCCCTTGTTTTCATTTTAAACCATTCCAGTTGATTAACAATCGCACACTTATAACGCAAATTCAGTAATATTTATAATATTACTGAAGTAATTTGGTAATATTTATTTATTACAACATGAACCAGCGTTAGACTATGCAATCTATCAACCTAATAAATTATACAATCAATTCTAATACTTGATTAATAACGCAAATATTTAACACCTAAATGTACATCTTTGTTGGGTATATTTTAATGTCGTAAGCGTGTAATTAAATAAACATTAGAATTTATTTATTCATTTAATAATTGGGTAATAATTTTATTTATTTAATAATTGGGTATTTAATAATTGGGTAAAAATTGTATTTATTTAATAATTGGGTATAATTTGTTCAGCTCTGATCCACGTGACGAACATTACCACAACGGCTGCTGATATTTGGTTTAAGATGCGACACTGCGAATCTAAGATAATATACACAATACGTCTAGTATGGGGGGACAATGTATTTACAGACTTGACAGAATTTTCTAGTCAAGAGAATGTGAGTTTGATTAATTGACTGTTCACTTTGATTAATTAACTGTTTACTTTGATTAATCATGTTTCTTGATTATAAATGGTTATGTAAGTTTAGTTATAGAATGTTGGTACTTGATTAATGATGATTTACAATTAAGATCATACTATTAAAGATTTACTAAGAAAGCTATGCAATTGTTTACTAATGTTTAGCTGTATGTGCTATTATATATGCTTCGTAACACTTAATTAACCCATTAAATAATTAGTTGCTTGTTTCAGAATATCTTCAAAACACGTGCTCCTGATTTGCAGCCTAACAAGGCATATCGAGTTGTGGTGAGTTAATTACGTCTTAATTACGAGTTAATTACGTCTTATTTAGACACAGTAAATATTTCAACATTTTACATTTTACTGTAACCACTAATTTTGGTAGTCCACTTAGCAGTTAGCAGTTCGCAACGGTTGCGATCTCGGCGAGCGAAGCGAGCCGGCTCCGGATAGGGGCGGCAAATTTCAATTAGCAGGGGGGCGGCACAAAGTAACGTTACGCCACTGTCGCAACCTCTTAAAAGAGTTTGATTTTATACAATCATTTATGTCTCTTAGGACTCTTAAGACTCTTAGGGCTTCATCCAAATACTTGAAGTAGTACATCATTCTCAAAAAGGCATAAATAGTTGTAAGACATTTCCTTATCAGTTGAAAATCACCGATATTAGTGATTAGATCAGCTCCAATAACTTGACGTTAGGCTGAGTGTTGTAAACCTCATGACAGGACATTATCACATATGTTACATCATGATGTGCGGTATATTGGCAAAACTGCAAGCTTAAAATGTGATATCCTGTTTAGCGCATAATAATGTATCCATATGATATATTACGAACTTGACATTACAAACTTGACGTTTAGCGTGTTTTACCAGATACCATATTAACACAGAATATAGTATCATATATTCATTATTTAGCTGTGTGTGTCCTGGATTTACATGGTACAATTACGTTAATGCGTCGTACAGGACATGGCATTTTTCCGGGTTCATACCCGAACTTGAGTTATATAGCGATTCTAATTTCCGTTTGCGAACGTTTGCGGAGGAACAGGAAATGACACAATTTCTGAAAATGTCGACGTTTAATAGTGTTGCGAAAGACAAATGATGTCTCTTGTAAACTTCATTCTTAAATTAGCACAATGTCAATTAGTTATAATTGTTATTGTTTTATATTCCATTTCACAGGACCGAGAGAAAAAAAAATCATTTTCCATTCGTATAATATCATAACTGAAGATGTTACAAAGAAGGACCAGTTCATCTTGATTCATTGCACGTGAAACAAATATAAATTGTGTTATTAGTAGCCGGTTTGATGTGATATCACCTAAATGGCTGTGCTTACTGCAACGCGCGGCACAATTTTGTCTATTACTAGCAACGTAAGATTATGCAGAACTCACTGAAACTAACATTTGAGAACGCGCGCGTTTGTCTAATGAGAGCGTACCCTACGCATGGTTTTGTCTATTTTTAGCCAATTTCAAGCAATTAATTGGGCGAAGTCGGCACGCTTGGCTGCTAATTAAAATCTCCAATTATACTGCCAAAAGCTGTTCTCAACATAACCTTAAATATTTATCATCGACCCTCGATGTTACGTTCTACTGAGCCACACCCTATAATGTGAACTGTGAAGGACTTCTTTCAATTCTTAATGAGTTCGAAAATCCTTAAGCGATCAATTTTCAGGTTCACAGGCACTTCTCTAATGGTGATACTAAATTCTCCTTCTACGGTGACTTCACGACACTACCAGCAGCCCCAGACACCGCCGTTATAATATTAAACACCATTGTTACAGACGACGAGATCAGTTACAGTTACAAGGTAGAAGATCTGGACAAGCTTTATGTTTCAGAAAGTGAGATTCAGAGCTATATCCTGAAAATAAGAGCTGAGGATGAGTAAGTTTTTAAAATACATTGGTAAAAGCACCTCTTTTTCGATTGTGAAATAACTCAATCGTGGAAATAGCTCAACGCATCAACATCCGCTCTCTTTCTTGGGAATTTAATCATAATTTTGAAGTATTTGATGAAAAGGATGTGCTTATTAATTGCTGTAATTTCAGGGTTGATTGGGTCGAGAAGCCAATCTATAACTCAATGTCAACCGGTCTTTACAAGGAACCGAACCTTACTCCCTATGTGAGATACTGCGTATCGATGGCTGTACGCAATCCGACTGGTGTAGGCCCCTTTTCAGAGGAGCATTGCAACAGAACTAAAAGTGCCAGTAAGTGTACCGACAATTTTTTCGCTTCCATCTACCCTATTGACGTATAATAATAATAGATAATAATGTTCTGTCTTATTCGTCCTAATTTCAAGTGTTGCTGTAACGATAAGACTAGACAACTTTTTCTTGTAATTGTAAACCGGAATGCAATCAGCTAACAGGGCTAACAGAATTCCTAGCACCACATTCCCCGATCCGGATCATATGTTGAGGATTTTCAGATTTTAGCACGTCTTGATTAGCATGTGAAACGCGATCACGTCTGCCCGACCACATGAATTCTTAACACCACCTCCCTCATTCCCCGATCACATGTTGAAGATTTTCAGACCACCTTGATTAGCATGCGAAGCTGATCAAGTGATCACGTCTGCCCGACCACATGATATGTTTTACCAGTATGATATATGAGAAGGTGTCAACTGGACCGGGTATATGATCCCGTTCGTATATATAACGGCCAGTCTTTCATACTTACTCCTTCAGTACAACAGATAATTTCAATTGCTTCCATTATGACTCTGACACCCAACGAGAGCACTCCAAGGTCCTGTAAAGTTCGATCCTCCTACTGGACCAACGAATCTCACAACATTATGTCTCCCATCATCCTCACCACCCCCACCAAAACCTCCCACTTCTCCCGGAAACTAAGCTTCAACAGCACTGAAGACGAGCTCCCAAATCAGAAGAAACGACATAAGACTTCCAAGATTCCTGTCAGTTCCAGTTCCAGGTCTAAATCTTGTGAGAGGATAGGACAGCACAGAGTCAGCACTCAACGAGTTAGCATTGGTGCTGCAACGAACAACATTGTGTTGATCACCCCTACACCTAGAACCCCTCTCTCCATCCTCAACAACCCCACCTCCGCTTCTGCTTGCAAGGTCCGGGATCTTCGGAAAAGACGGGTAATACGATCCAAATCCTCCGACAACCTAGCTCAATGTTATGTCTCCATGACCCCTGTTTCCTCTAAAATTCCTGTTTCCTCCTCTAAAGTCTCAGCTGATCGGATAGTTACTGACAAGAAGAGACGCAAGAAGAACCTAACTCAGAAGTTCAGAAAGGCGATTATGAAGCCTGATGTGGATGGAAACGGTCTCCACGAACACTCCTTCGTTGATTGGTTCAGAAAACGTCTTAACGATAGCTGAGCGATATATGAAGATGGAGGACATCGATTGTTTTTTATATTATTGTGTGTATTATATTAGTTTTAAATCTTAATTTTTCAACAAAATTTCTGATAATTATTTTTGTGACCATAGCCAAAATTTGAGGTAAATTTGTCTTGAAAAGTCAGTAAATTGAAAAAAATCTTAATTGGATGATTTTTCAGTCGCCCCTGCACCCGAGCTTCGCGAGGTATCAACCGCAGCTGATCACAGCGTCATTGAAATAACCCACCCCGACCCACCAAAGGGTCTACTTGTAACCTACAATGTCACTTTTATGGATGACCCTTCAAATTATGAGAAGAGGGACTTCGCTGTAGAGGGTGAACTGAAGCAGAATATTAATATCAGCGACTTGAATAGCCATACTACTTATACTTTTATCGTGAGTTTTGCTCTTGATTTACCTTACAAATCGAAATTTCAATTTAAGTTACAAAATTGATTAAGTCAACTTCAAACAGCTGCTGTGTTTATATTACATATATTTAACTAAATTGCCCATCATTTAATTCAGTAATACATTAATCATGGCCAGGTGAGCGCGATAAACTCCGTAGGAATGGTAGGTTTCCCCCAAGAGATTATGGTAACCACTCTTGAGTCTGTCCCAGAAGCTGCTCCGCTCCTTTCAACTTGTGATCTGACTGCAACTAATTCCACGCACTTCAAGTAATTACTCAGTAATTGATTTTATAAGCACCCAATGTGGTCGTAGGAAGAAATAAGAAAATCGTCAAAATTAGAGAATTACGTCCGCGTCTGGATGTAATTCCTTAAATTGTTTGATATTTTTCATACCAATCATATCTCACATGCTTTTTCAAATGCCCTGATGGATTTTTTTCATTTTCAATCAACAATAGAATAATTTGTTTTCTATTTCCAGTGCAACTGTTAGCTGGGTTGGTGTCCATGAGGATCATATAAATGGTGTTATTCAGAATTACACCCTTCACCTTCAGAAAGTGGTATGATTTTAAATTTGTACCTTATTTCATTTAATTGAACAATTTGGTTACATAATTATAAGTTCTAGCAACTTTTTGGATTACCAATAGTTTGGGTTCAGGTGGTAATCCCTACAGTATATTGGGGGGGGGGGGGGGGGGGGGGGGGTGTCACGTCCGTCTATGTCCGCTTGTCTCATAGAATCCAAAAAGGACAGGACATAGACGGACATAGGCGGACATAGGCGGACATAGACGGACATAGGCGGACATAGGCGGACATAGACGGACATAGGCGGACATAGGCGGACATAGGCGGACATTAATGGACACCTAAATTGCTAAATAAAATGTTCAATTTTTGCTGTTATAGGGGGATCATGTTTTTTGTCCGTTCGGTACCCTATATTTTCAAAACGGACAAAAAATAGAGCGGACAAAAATGGACAAAAACGGACAAAAATGGAAATAACATTTAGATGCTTCCTCCTCCTACTCTTCCTCCTCCTCCTGGGTCTTCCTGATCTTCCTCAGTCCTCTTCCTCCTCCCCTCCTCAGTCCTCCTCCTACTCCTCCTCCTCGTCCTCAGTCCTCCTCATCAGTCCTCAACAGTCCTCCTCCTCCCCAGTCCTCCTCCTCCTCCTGAGTCCTCCTCCTGGGTCCTCCTCCTCCTCTTCCTCCTCAGTCCTCAGTCCTCCTCAGTCCTCCTCCTCATCCTTCTCCTCAGTCCTCCATCCTCCTCCTCAGTCCTCTCCCAGTCCCCATCCTCCTCATATTCAGTCCTCCTCCTCCTCCGCAGTCCTCCTTCTTCTCAGTCCTCCTCAGTCCTCCTCCTCCTCCTCCTCCTGAGTCCTCCTCCTCCTCCTCTTCCCTCTCAGTCATCCTCCTCAGCCATCCTCCTCAGTCCTCCTCCTCAGTCCTCCTCCTCCTGGGTCCTCCTCTTCATCCTTTTCATCAGTCCTCCTCCTCCCCAGTCCTCTCCCAGTCCCCCTCCTTCTCCTCCTATTCAGTCCTCCTCCTCCTCCTCCTCCTCCTCCTCAGTTCTCCTCAGTCCTCCTTCTCATTTCTCCTAAGTCCTCCTCCTGGGTCCTCCTCCTGGGTCCTCCTCCTCCTCTTCCTCCTCAGTCCTCAGTCCTCCTCCTCATCCTTCTCCTCAGTCCTCCATCCTCCTCCTCAGTCCTCTCCCAGTCCCCATCCTCCTCCTCCTATTCAGTCCTCCTCCTCCTCCTCCTGAGTCCTCCTCCTCCTCCTCCTCCTCTTCCCTCTCAGTCATCCTCCTCAGCCATCCTCCTCAGTCCTCCTCCTCAGTCCTCCTCCTCCTGGGTCCTCCTCCTCCTCTTCATCCTCCTCCTCTTCCTCCTCGGTCCTCAGTCCTCCTCCTCCTGGGTCCTCCTCTTCATCCTTCTCATCAGTCCTCCTCCTCCCCAGTCCTCTCCCAGTCCCCCTCCTTCTCCTCCTCCTATTCAGTCCTCCTCCTCCTCCTCATCCTCCTCCTCAGTTCTCCTCAGTCCTCCTTCTCATTTCTCCTAAGTCCTCCTCCTGAGTCCTCCTCCTCCTCTTCCTCCTGAGTCCTCCTCCTCCTCCCTCTCAGTCATCCTCCTCAGTCATCCTCCTCAGCCATCCTCCCCAGCCATCCTCCTCAGCCATCCTCCTCAGTCCTCCTCCTTCTCAGTCCTCCTCAGTCCTCAGTCCTCCTCCTCCTGAGTCCTCCTCCTCCTCCTCCTCTTCCCTCTCAGTCATCCTCCTCAGCCATCCTCCTCAGTCCTCCTCCTCCTGGGTCCTCCTCCTCCTCTTCCTCCTCGGTCCTCAGTCCTCCTCCTCTTGGGTCCTCCTCTTCATCCTTCTCATCAGTCCTCCTCCTCCCCAGTCCTCTCCCAGTCCCCCTCCTTCTCCTCCTCCTATTCAGTCCTCCTCCTCCTCCTCCTCCTCCTCCTCCTCCTCCTCCTCAGTTCTCCTCAGTCCTCCTTCTCATTTCTCCTAAGTCCTCCTCCCGTCCTCCTCCTCCTCTTACTCCTGAGTCCTCCTCCTGAGTCCTCCTCCTCCTCCCTCTCAGTCATCCTCCTCAGCCATCCTCCCCAGCCATCCTCCTCATCCATCCTCCTCAGTCCTCCTCCTCCTCCTGAGTTCTCCTCCTGGGTCCTCCTGGGTCTTCCTGATCCTCCCCAGTCCTCTTCCTCCTCCCCTCCTCAGTCCTCCTCCTACTCCTCCTCCTCGTCCTCAGTCCTCCTCATCAGTCCTCAACAGTTCTCCTCCTCCCCAGTCCTCCTCCTCCTCCTGGGGCCTTTTCCTGGGTCCTCCTCCTGGGTCTTCCTCCTCCTGGGTCCTCCTCCTCCTGGGTCCTCCTTCTCCTCCTCAGTCCTTCTCCTCCTCCTCCTCAGTCCTCTTCCTCCTCTTCCTCCTCCTCCTCCCTCTCAGTCATCCTCCTCAGCCATCCTCCTCAGCCATCCTCCTCAGTCCTCCTCCTTCTCAGTCCTCCTCAGTCCTCCTCCTGAGTCCTCCTCCTCCTGAGTCATCCTCCTCAGTTATCCTCCTCCTCCTCCTAGGTCCTCCTTCTGGGTCCTCCTCCTCCTCCTCCTCCTGGGTCTTCCTGATCCTTCTCCTCCCTCTCAGTCATCCTCCTCAGCCATCCTCCTTAGCCATCCTCCTCAGTACTCTTCAGTACTCTTCAGTACTCTTCAGTCCTCAAAATGTTTGTCCGCTAATGTCCACCAATGTCCGCTAATGTCCACCAATGTCCGTCCAAGTCCGCCAATGTCCGTCCGGGTCCGCCAATGTCCGTCCGAGTCCGCCAATGTCCGTCCGAGTCCGCCAATGTCCGTCCGTGTCCGCCAATGTCCCAAAAAACACGTCCGTTGTCTCATAGAATCCAAAAAGGACAGGACATAGGCGGACATAGACGGACATGACACCCCCCCCCCTATATTCTACTGTTCAGCTGAAGTCCATGTCTGATTAACAACAAATCAAATTACTTATTTTCCAGATCTCGTTCCGTGATCGTGGTCTTCAATCAGTGCAATACAACAAGACTTACTCCTTTAGCTTTGGGCTGAACGAAACCATAGAAAGCTATGTTCAGGTATGTAGAATTCTTTTCGGCTGAGATTGTGCTTAAGTTTGATCTAGTACGCATTATTGAATATTGAAACTAATTGAAGTATAGTTAGGAGGTCAAGTTTGTAGGCATAATCTTATCCAAGCAACCCAAACTATTATTCTTGTGCGACTTAAAATCGATATGTATCTTAATTTTACTATAACTGTATAACTGGTCCACTGATCAATAAAACCATCCAATTATATGGTTTTATTGCTTAGTCCGAACTGTAAAAATCTGACATGTCATTCCCTCTCAGCCCCTGGACACAGACTTTGCACTCGAATACAAGAAAAACGAGCTAGTCCGTGCCCGACTCTCCATTTCTACGGAGATGGGCCAGGGACCATGGCCTACTCACTTCTTCAACTGCACTGTCGGTAAGTTCTCAACTTATACTACAGGGTTATATCAGAGTCACTAACTTTTCAGATGATATATTAACAGGAAACGATATAACAGCGTTAATATATTTTAATATATTTTAATGTTGCCATGGGTGGTAAGTCCCCTACATCGTAGTCTGATATTTTCACTGCGTCTTAATATACAATACTGGGAACCCACTGGGAAACTAAATATGGCAAGTAGGTGCCGACTGGCTGTTAGTAGGTTATTAGCCGGCTGTTACACTAACAGTCCTCTAGTAACAGCCGGGCGGCCCAGTTGCCCTGAATATGTGAAAACGGTGGAGTATCGGCTGGTAGCCTGACTGGTAAGCGAGAAAACAGAGAAATTAGATTATAGACGTTAGAGAGTGATTTAGAGCTAATTCAACTTTAAAGATATCTTATCACGCTCAGCAATTTCAATTCCTTAAACTGATATATTAGATTCAATCGAGCTGATATCATTCTGATCTCTTCTTTTTTAGAACTTTTTATAAGGATTCGGAAATCCAGATGATAGTTGATCCATCTAATCTATTGTTTAGAACTTTAAGATCGTTATACCGAGGAAATAATTAAAACATGGGCAAATGCTCTGTTTTTTGGTAAACAAACAGCCAAATATGTATATATCGATTTATTAGTCACTTAGTAACTCGTAATTAGAACTCAGAAACCAGTCTCGATTTGTTCACCTCGTAATTGAAAACGTAGCCTTGAATTATTTCGAACACTAAATGTTTCAGCTCTCTGAGCAGAAATTTGAATTATGAGTACACTTTACATTCCACATGGCCATGACGAACACTGTACAACCTACCCGGGTATAGCCATTAGCCATACACCCTACTTTTTCTTTTGAGTTTCACAGAAATTCTTTTAAGTTTCCCAGAAATTCAAAAGGTTTATTAATTTCCGTAGTGGGGTAGCAACTAGGTCATTTTCAAGTGACTTTGGCCACTGCAACTACTCGAGGTCAAATTTGGCGGTACTACCAAGATCGCTAGTTAGCGATCTTGTTGAGTGTATTATACAATTTCTCACGCGTGAGCCAGCCAGATTCACTACGTATTTCAAAGCTATTTAGATCCATTAAATTATATCTTCTACGTCTTTGGTACAAGCTAGTCTTACTCAGTACAAGCGATAAAAGTTAGTCAGGTGAGCGAATAGTGATTTGTCGGAACAGCTGGGATAGTGAGATGGGTTGTGGCAGAATCGTTTAGTTTAAATTGATCTTGCACCGTGCGTCTTCGTTCTTTCTCTTTCAAGACACAGCTTGCCAGAAAGGTGCTTTGAGTAACATTTCACATGACATTTGAACAGACCTTGGCCTTACTTGACTGGTGTTAGTGGTGTTAGTGGACTTTTACTGAGACATGAAACACACTACTATACATATATAAACCTTTCTGTTTCGCTGCGCATCTATACCACGCTCCTTTCGCACCATTATCCAATTTCCAAACGTGAATGTTTTCGCAAAATTGTCAGAAAATATTTATGAAGTTACTTCTCGATAATTGATAAAGTGGTACTGTTAGACTAACGACAAATAAACTTGCTTATGTTTAACTTTTCTCATTTCTCCACTCCTTTTTTATTTTGAATTATAAATTAATCATAATATTTATAAACACTATCAAAGTGTAGAACTAGAGAAGCCTTAAATAAAGTGTGACAATGAAATATAAAAAACGCTGTGACAGCTAAATAGAGGGGGGGGGGGGGGGGGGGGGGGAAGCCAAGGGGTATTATGGGGAATGCCTTAATGGATTTTGGAAATACCCCAAAATTACCCAAAATTATTCTAAATATTCATTGTGGGCAACAGTTTACGTTTACACAAACCAGTTTCAGTCCATTGTTCAGTGCATGTTGTAGTTGAAATCGTAGTCTGCCTAGATAATAAATTATATCAGGAAAAAAATGTTTAGACTCAACAGCCAAATTTCTGAACTGCTGCTCTGCTCATGCTTCTATGACTTATAGTTATTAAATTATTATATTCCCTTTTATACTTATGAATCTGGTAACATTCCCGTCTAAAACATTTTGGCCCCGGGGCCGGGTTTGAGTCTTGGAATGCCCAATACCTCAAGGAACCGATCGGAAACAAATTTGGCTCGGGTAGAAATTTTAACAATGGAGTATGGTACAGTTTTGCGCAATCGACCACGCTTTTTTTGGCGCTTTTGCGACTTTGAAATAAAACTTTGGCCTCTGATTAGAGCCTAAAGCCACACTAGGGCATAAAGATGTCCAACATTATCACATTTAGGGGTGTACAGCATAATTTCAAAGTCCTATGACATTAGGACATAAGTTATGAGGCTGCACCTATTTGCGCTCTCGTGATAATAGCAACTACAGCACTTTATAATACAAGATATCTTGGCTTCTGAAGCTAAATGCTCAACTTGGACGTTTAAATTTTCAAAATGATCACATTGAGTTGGGCAGAGCATAAAGTCAAAGTTCTCAGTCATTAGTCATCGGATTGCTAAGTTATTAAGCCAAAACACATTTTTACACTGTCGCGTGTTGCGACTGCAGCACTTAAAATCAAAATAACTCGGATTCTGATTGGAGCTTAAATTGGGCAGTGAAATGATCATACTGAGTGGGGTAAATTCTAGTTACGACGTCCTGATCCTCAGGCATCAGGCTGTAGAGTTACAGCTTCAAGATGACGTTTTCAATAATGCAACGCGAGTAATCTCGCTGCTAGGGTAGGCGAGGGTATGACATTATTATGCTAATACCCTTCGGCCTCTTAGAAGGATATAAAACTTAAAGAGGGCAGTCAGGAATCTTCCTTGCCTTCAAACTTTCGATTCACACATTTCCTGGCCTCACGAGTTCTTGGATTAGCCTAGAACACCAGATAATTTTGAACAATTTGGTGACTCGTATACAGTTCTTACAACCACGCTGAATATTTAACTTCCATTTTAGTGGATCTGTCTGGCGTCCTGGTGGATTTAATCGATCGCATTTACCTTTAAAACTATTGTATCATAGCTGAGCGGTATACACTATACACGCTCACAGGCTACCACGTCTTGTGTAACCCAGGATTTCGTTTTGAATCGGACACTTAAAACAACGACAGATGGAATGACTGCAAGGTTTCCAAAACGTAGCCTGGAGAAAAACGGCACGTTAATGTCGTTGCTGGTATGGTGATGGAGAATCTTCCACATATGAAGTTGAATAAACATTAAACCGCTCCCTGCGACGCTGTAGTGACATCAGAGATCGAAGAAGGTCCCAATAATGAAGATCACGCATTCCAGTAATCCTTGCGTTGAAAGTTTTGTACGCTTTCAAGCCCCTGGATGTCACTTATCTTGGAGGGGTGCCATAGCGGGCAACAGTATTCCAGTAGACTACGAACCATCGACTTGTAAAGCGTGAGCATTATGACTGGTGATTTGGTCTGAAAGACACTGAAAACCCAGGCAGCTTTGTCGAACCTTGTTTGCTATGGTCTTAATGTGGGGTTGTCAAGATAGATCGTCGGAGACGAGACCCCTGAGGTCTCTAAGTTGGCCTAAAGATGCGGGTGACTTGTCATTGGATACTGAGTACTGGTACAGTTCACTAGAACAAAAGGACGTTCGACGAGAGCACTGCGTCGATTGTGTCTGTGACAAATATACCCAAACTTTGTCATTTGTGTAGTGCCATATTGTTTTCGTTCAGACCATTTATGACACTATTCAATTTGTTTTGTAAAACAGATACGTCTTGTTCACAGGTTATCGAAATCGATACACGAGTGTCGTCTGCAAAGTATATACACATAATTCAACAACCTAATGTCTCAGGACTTTGAAATTATGCCTCATTCCCTATATAAGTATATAACAGCATAGAATGGCATCTGTAAACAGTTAAAATACATTGTCAAGGCACAGGGGGTATTTTAGTTATTTTGGGGTATTTTGGGGAATGCCTTAGTGGATTTTTGAAATCCCCATAATAGAGTCCCCCACTTGGCTTCCCCCTAAATGCTTTATTCCAGTTCTTTTCATTTCACTGCACTAACGTTTGAGCTAAATTCGAATTCCTACTGCAGCTGTTATGTTTTGTTCGTTTTTCGTTTACAGGTTGTAAAGAACATAGCTCTTTTCGGTCCATGAAACGTATTCAGCGCCAAGCTTTTGTTTATCGGCTAAATATTTAATATCGTACAACGTTGTCCTTAAACGAATTAATAAACTCGATTGATTGATCGAAAGTCCTCTAGGGCCACCCGTGAGGGCTTTGAAACATGTTTATTGTTATCTTACTTATGATTCGAAAGTTTATGTTTGTTTGTACGACCGCCCACGTGCAAATCAGATGAGAAATAGGAATTTACACTTACATAGTAACCATGTAATGGTGTTGAAACGCGCACATGCACGTGCAAAGATTTGCGAGCGAAATTTTGATCGGTTTTGTGGTAATTACGTTGTGATCAGTCAAGCTACATTTTAATGGGCTGTATCTTCGGTCGGTTGTGACTAGGAACCGACCGGAATGTACTTTTGGCTGCCGGACCGGATCTTGCCGGATATCGATTTATTATCCGGTTAGCCGGATTCTGCCGGACCGGAACCGGTGTTAGGAGGGTGAAATATAAGGCAGCCGGAACTTGCCGGATCTTGCCGGAAAATTTAAATTAATCCTTATTATTGGGCTTCTGTCATTATCAATTATGATATTAATCCTAATAAGCCATATAGTTTTTACATAATAAGTTCCGCATTTCTAATTATATATAAGAGCTATACGACCAGACCGATGATGTTTACTGTTTAGGCCTAGCAGTAGACATATGTCAAATATCAAATCAACAAGCAGAACGTTGGAACAAGAGTAGGCAAGTTATTATCAGAAATTATATGCAATTGGGATAATATCCTACCAGACCCCTTGAGCGCGATTGCACGTGTGAGACACAGTTGTTCCCTTTTTGTCATGCAAGTCTGAGTATCAAA